AAAGAGCAAATGAAGGAAGGAAAGAAAGAGGTAGAGAAGGAAGAAATGAGAGAAAGGGAAAGGAAAAGAAAAAGAGGGGAAGGGGAAACGAAGAGAAGGTGGGAAGGAAAGGAGAAATAGGAAAAGAAGAAGGAAGGTGAGAAGGTAAGATGGAAGCAAAGAGCGAAGGAAGGAAAGAAAGAAGGAAAGAAGGAAGAAAGGAGAGAAAGAAAAGGAAAAAAGAGAGGAGAATGAAGGAAGGAGAGAAGGAAAGAAGAAAGGGGAAGGAAGGAAGGAAGGAGAGAAGGAAAGAAGGAGATAAAAAGGGAGAGAAACAAAGGAGGAAAGAGAGAAGGAGGGATGGAAGCAAAGAGCAAAAGAAAGAAGAGAGAGGTAGAGTAGGAAGAAATGAGAGAAAGAGGAAGGAAAAGAAAAAGAGGGGAAGGGGAAACAGAGGGAAGGAGGGAAGGAAAGGAGAAATAGGGAACAAAGGAAAGAAAGAAGGAAGGATGGAAGCAAAGAGTGAATGAAGGAAGGAAAGAAAGAGGCAGAGAAGGAAGAAAAGAAAGAAAGAAAAGGGAAAAAAGGAGGAGAACGAAGGAACGAGAGAAGGAAAGAAAAAAGGGAAGGAAGGAAGGAAGGAAAGAGGGAGGAAAGGGAGGAGAGAAACAAAGAAGGAAGGAAAGAAAGAAAGAAAGAAAGAAAGAAAGAAAGAAAGAGGGAAGGTTGGCCACAGCAACACGTGGCAGGTACAGCTAGTATATATATAAAATAGTCTGGATTTGGCCTAGGACAAAAGGATTTCTCTGAATGCTGCAAAGCGACACCAGGTCTCAAAAGCGAAGGAAAGAAATAGACCCACCTGTTTTCTTGTCTTTGGCTCTGTAAACAACTCCGTACGTTCCTTCCTCAATCCGGTTCAGGCACTGAAACTCTTCCACACTGCGACATCCCTAGAAAAGAGAAGAAGAGGGAATGAAAGATGAGACATATACACACGGATCACTGGGGCATTTAAACCCGCCCCAATGATAAACAGACGAGGACACGACTGGCACAGCACGGTCAATTTATTGATTTACTTATTATTTTTATTTATTTACGACATTTCTATGCCGCCCTTCTCACCCCGAAAAGGACTCAGAGCGGCTTACAAGTAAAAAGTAAATACAATATATTATATTATTACTATAGCACAATATTAATATTATATATTACTCTATTGTACTATAATATTATTTATTTATTATTTTTATTTATTTACATTTCTATGCCGCCCTTCTCACCCCAAAGGGGACTCAGAGCGGCTTACAAGTAAAATGTAAATACAATATATTATATTATTACTATAACACAATATTAATATTATATATTACTATATTGTACTATAATATTATTTTTAATTTATTTACAGCATTTATATGCTGCCCTTCTCACCCCAAAGGGGACTCAGAGCAGCTTACAAGTAAAAAGTAAATGCAATATATTATATTATTGCCATAGCACAATATTCATATTATATATTACTATATTGTACTATAATATTATTTATTTATTTTAATTTTTATTTATTTACGACATTTATATGGCGCCCTTCTGACCCCGAAAGGGACTCAGAGCGGCTTACAAGTAAAAAATAAATACAATTATATTATATTATTATCATAGCACAATATTAATATTATATATTACTATATTGTACTATAATATTATTTTTAATTTATTTACAGCATTTATATGCTGCCCTTCTGACCCCAAAGGGGACTCAGAGCAGCTTACAAGTAAAAAGTAAATGCAATATATTATATTATTGCCATAGCACAATATTCATATTATATATTACTATATTGTACTATAATATTATTTATTTATTTTAATTTTTATTTATTTACGACATTTATATGGCGCCCTTCTGACCCCGAAAGGGACTCAGAGCGGCTTACAAGTAAAAAATAAATACAATTATATTATATTATTATCATAGCACAATATTCATATTATATATTACTATATTGTACTATAATATTATTTTTTTATTTACAACATTTCTATGCCACCCTTCTCACCCCAAAGGGGACTCAGAGCGGCTTACAAGTGAAAAGTAAATGCAATATATTATATTATTACTATAGCACAATATTCATATTATATATTACTATATTGTACTATAATATTATTTATTTATTTTAATTTTTATTTATTTACAACATTTATATGGCGCCCTTCTGACCCCAAAGGGGACCCAGAGCGGCTTACAAGTGAAAAGTAAATCATATTATTATCATAGCACAATAAATCAAATATATCATATTATTGTCATAGCACAATATTAATATTATATATTACTATATTGTACTATAATATTATTTTTATTTATTTATTTATTTGGCATTTCTATGCCGCACTTCTCACCCCAAAGGGGACTCAGAGCGGCTTACAAATAAAATGTAAATACAATATATTATATTATTACTATAGCACAATATTAATATTATATGTAACTATATTGTACTATAATATTATTTTGTATTATTATTTATGACATTTATATGCCACCCTTCTCACCCCAAAGGGGACTCAGAGCAGCGTACAAGTAAATACAATATATCATATTATTATCATAGCACAATAATAATATTATATATTACTATATTGTACTATGATATTATTTATTTTATTTATATTATTATTATAATAATTATCATAACACAATATTAATACTATTAATACTAATACTATAACATTATACTATTATATAATTATAATATAATTATACTATAATATGATTAGTAATATTACAATTAATATAAAATATATAATTATAAAACCATATTATTATTATTATTATTATTATTATTACTAGTAGTAGTAGTAGTAGTAGCAGTAGTATTATATTGTACTAGGGAAGTCATGCTCCCCATGCTCTATTCTGCCTTGGTTAGACCACACCTGGAATATTGTGTCCAATTCTGGGCACCACAATTCAAGAGAGATATTGACAAGCTGGAATGTGTCCAGAGGAGGGCAACTAAAATGATCAAGGGTCTGGAGAACAAGCCCTATGAGGAGCGGCTTAAGGAGCTGGTCATGTTTAACATGAAGAAGAGATGGCTGAGAGGAGACATCATAGTAAAGGTAAAGGTAGTCCCCTGACATTAAGTCCAGTCATGTCTGACTCTGGGGTGTGGTGCTCATCTCCATTTCTAAGCCGAAGAGCCAGCGTTGTCCGTAGACACCTCCAAGGTCATGTGGCCGGCATGACTGCATGGAGCGCCGTTACCTTCCCGCCGGAGCGGGAAGACATCATAGCCATGTATAAATATGTGAGAGGAAGACACAGGGAGGAGGAGGGAGCAAGCTTGTTTTCTGCTTCCTTGGAGACTAGGACACAATGGAACAATGGCTTCAAACTACAAGAAAGGAGATTCCATCTGAACATGAGGAAGAACTTCCTGACTGTGAGAGCCGTTCAGCAGTGGAACTCTCTGCCCCGGAGTGTGGTGGAGGCTCCTTCTTTGGAAGCTTTGGAGGCTGGATGGCCATCTGTCAGGGGTGATTTGAATGCAATATTCCTGCTTCTTGGCAGAATGGGGTTGGACTGGATGATGGCCCAGGAGGTCTCTTCCAACTCTGGATTCTATTATTATTATTATTATTATTATTACTATTAATCAGATTCCGAAACTACCATATATGTGCAATTCACTTTTTGGCAGAATGGGGTTGGACTGGATGGCCCAGGAGGTCTCTTCCAACTCTAGGATTCTATTATTATTATTATTATTATTATTATTTAAACAGAGGCTGGATGGCCATCTGTCAGGGGTGATTTGAATGCAATATTCCTGCTTCTTGGCAGGGGGTTGGACTGGATGGCCCATGAGGTCTCTTCCAACTCTAGGATTCTATTATTCTATGATTCTTATTATTATTATTATTATTATTATTATTATTATTATTATTACTATTAAGCAGAGGCTGGCTGGATGGCCATCTCTCGGGGGTGCTTTGAATGCAATATTCCTACTTCTTGGCAGAATGGGGTTGGACTGGATGATGGCCCAGGAGGTCTCTTCCAACTCTAGGATTCTATTATTATTATTATTATTATTATTATTATTATTAATCAGATTCCAAAACTACCATATATGTGCAATTCACTTTTTGGCAGAATGGGGTTGGACTGGATGGCCCATGAGGTCTCTTCCAACTCTAGGATTCTATTATTATTATTATTATTATTATTATTATTATTATTATTACTATTAAGCAGAGGCTGGCTGGATGGCCATCTCTCGGGGGTGATTTGAATGCAATATTCCTACTTCTTGGCAGAATGGGGTTGGACTGGATGGCCCATGAGGTCTCTTCCAACTCTAGGATTCTATTATTATTATTATTATTATTATTATTATTA